GGGCCCAATCCGGGCTCAGAGACGGCCCCAGACTTCCACCATGGCCCCAAAATGTCCCAAGAGGCCCCCGAGACGGCCCGAGAGGACCCCAAATGGCTTGAGAGGGCGCCAAAGTGGCCCAAGAAGGCCCCGCTGTTCAAGAAGGACTATTCCGAGGTCCTCTAGAGCATCCCCACGGAGCTCCCACGAGAGCCTCCAGCCCCAGCACCTTTCGCCGTTACTGGTTTCTCAGACAGCTTAAGGGGGCCCCAAGAGCTGTCCAAGAAGGACGAAATGCTCTACAGCCTCCGAACCGACTCCGAGAGTTGCCAAGCAGCTCCCAACAGAGCCTCCAGCCCCAACACATTTCACCGCTGATGAGTTTAGCGCTAAAGAAAGTCGAAGATCCCACAGCGGCCCCAGACCACTCCTAGATGCCCCGCAGCCCCCCGACGAGACTCTGATAGTCACCACGGAGCTCCCACGAGAGCCTCCAGCCCCGGCAACCCCTCAAGAAAGCCTCGAACCCCAAACAACCTTCTCTCCCTTGTTACCCTTTGCTCTCCTCCTCCTCCTCCTCCTCCTCCTCCTCCTCCTCCTCCTCCTCCTCCTCCTCCTCCGCCATGCTTCGCCGCGCAACGGCGCGCATGCTCGGCGGACCGCTCGACGTGACGTCGCTGGCCCGGTGTTCCGTGGGCGTCCGCGAGGGAGGGCCAGGGCTCCGCGCGGCCAGCGACGTGGCCCTGCCGGCCTTCCTCGCATCCCGCACAGAGTCGCGGGCTCGCGTGGCCGGCCTGCACGAGGCCCTCGCCGCGGCGGGATTCGCGGGGGTCCCAGTGTTGGAGCGCTTCGACGCGCAGACCGCCGCCGCTCTGCAGGCCTTCAAGGCCAGGCTGCCCCCGGCTGCAGCGGCGGAGGCCCAGGCCGCGGTCGACGACTGGGCCGCGAGCGGCGAGCGCCAGGGAGGCCGCGCGGAGGGCATGCTGCTTGCCGGAGACGGCCTCATCCTGCCAGCCGGCGCAGAGGCCCCCGAGCGGGTCCCAGACGGCCGCCTGCAGTCTCGGCGCTGCGCTGTGGCCGACGGCGTCGCGGCCGTCTGCCTCTCCGCCGATCTCGCCGCTGCTGGCCGGGACGTCGACTGCCGTCGACTGCGGGAGCTCTGGGACCCATCCGTGAGCCTCGACTGGCCCTGGGCTCTCAATCCAGCGCACGGCCCGACCCTTGGCGCCGGGGAGTGCCTCACCGCGATGCGCGTGCGGGTTGGCGCCCCCGCCATCGACAACGAGATGCCGTGCCCTGGGTGTGGCACCAGAACGCTCGACAGGGCCTGTTCCCACGCGTTCCAGTGCGCGACGCCCGAGGCCACGCGGGGCCACTAATGAGGTGCGCGACCACGTCCTGGCCCTGGCGCACCTGGCCGACCCCGGCGCCGAAGCCGAAGCTCCCGGGCGGATGCCGTCAGCACCACATGCTCCGCCCCGCAGATGTCCTGACCAGCGCGGCCCTCGCGGGCCGTCCTGGCGGCTCTGGATGTTGGCGCGCGCAGCCCGGAGGCTCAGGGCGCCGGCGAGGACTGCCGCGACGCCATGCGCGCCCGCAAGCTGGGCGACTGCGGCGGCCACCTCGCAGAGCTGGCGGCGGCGGGCGTCACGTACGTACCCATCGTGTGGTCCGCCTGCGTCCGCGCCCACCCCGAGGCGCAGGCGGCGCTCCATGCGCTGGCGCTGCGGGCTGCGCTGCCGCCGGCCGCTGCTGCGCCGGGCCGAGGCGGCCGTCGGCGTCGCAGTCTGGCGCCAGGCCGCGGCCATTCTGCACGCCTGCCTGCCGGCGTCCACTCCCGAGGAGGAGCGCCTGTTGTGGGCGGAGGCATCGCCCGCGCGGGAGGCGTGAACAACCAAGAACCAAATTTCCTCCTCCTCTTTCTCTTCATCTTCCTCCTCTTCTTTGGTGCCTCTACACCTATCTCTCTGGTGTCGCTTTCCTTCTTCTGCTCACCTTCGACAGAGCGCGCTCGCGGCACACTTCTCGCTTCCAGGGGTGCCCCAGCTTCAAGCCACCCCCCTCCCTTGGACAAGGAGGGGCCTCCGAAGCTACCCCCCCCCCCCCTCCACCCCTCGTCGGGGCCCGGGGTCAAGCTTGGCTCCCCTTTCAGAAGGGGGGGGGCTTCCGAAGCTACTCCCCCGCCCCCTTTTGTTCGGATTTTGTAGCCGGGGGGTCCCTGGCTAAAGATGGGGGGGGCTTGGAAGCTACCCCCCCCCCCTCCTTTTCGAAGCTCGGGGCAAGCCCGGGCTCCCTCTTCCAAAGCGGGGGGGGGCTTTCGACGCTACCTCCCCCCCTCCTTCTGTTGGCTTGCCCAGCTGGGGGGCCCTGGCTGACGGGGGGGGGTCGAAGCTATTGTTTTTCTTTGGTTTTCGGCGCGCCGTTGGTTTGCGGCGTACTTGTGGCTTCCAATGTCTCCTTAATTTCGGAGCATCTGTAGTTTCCGCGCCCTTTGAGCCTTTGGCGCGTCTTTGGTAGTCGGCGCTTCTTTGGTTTTCGGCGCTCTTTTGGTTTTCGGCACTCATGTGGTTTTCTGCGCTCGTTTCGTTTTCGACGCCCTTTCTTGTTTTCTGCGCACCCTTTGTGGTTTTCAGCGCGTCGTTGGTTTATGGCGCCCTCTTGGGTTCCAGCGCCCCTTTGGTTATAGGCGCCCTCTTGGTTTTCGGCGCCCTTTTGGTCATCCGCGCCCCCTCAGTTTTCGGGGCCGTTTGGGTCTTCGGCGTTATTTGGGGTTCGGCGCCCCTTTGATGTTTGGCGCTTGTTTTGTTTTCGGCGCCCCTTTCGTTTTCGGCGCCCTTTTGGTCATCGGCGCCACTTTGGTTTTTCGGCGGCCTTCTGGTTTCCGGCGCATCGTTGGTTTTCGGCGCCCCTTGGGTTTTCGGCGTTTCTTTTGGTTGTCGGCGCCACTTGGGTTTTCGGCGCCCCTTTGGTTTTCGGCGCCCTTTTGGTTTTCAGTGGCCTTTGGTTTTCGGTGTCCTTTTGGTTTTCGGTTTCCTTCTGGTTTCCAGCGCATCTTTCGCTGCACCTTTTTGTGTTCGGCGCGTTGTTGGTTTTCGTTATCCTTTTGGTTTTCAGCGCCCCCTTGGTTTTTGGCGCTCCTTTGGTTTTCGGCGCCCTTTCGGTTTTCGGCGCTCATTTGGTTCTCGGTGCCCTTGTGGTGTTCGGTGGCCCTTTGGTTTTCGGCGCTCCTTTGGGTTTTCGGCGCCGTTTTGGTCTTCGGTGACCGTTTGGTTTTCGGCGCTCCTTCGGTTCTCGGCACTACTTTGGTTTTCGGTGCCGTTTTGGCGTTTGGCGAACCCCCTTTGATTGTCGGCTCCCTGTTGGTTTTCGGCGCTCATTTGGTTTCCGGCGTCCTTTTCAAGTTCGGCGGCCTTGTGGTTTTGGGCGCCCTTTTGGTTTTCGGAGTTCGTTCGGTGTTCGGCGGCTTTTGGTTTTCGGCGCCTCTTCGCTTTTCAGCGCCCTTTTGGTTTTCGGCGCTCCTTTGGATTTGGGATCCATTTGGGTTGTCGGCGCACTTTTGGTTTTCGGTGCCCCTTTGGTTCTCGGCGCTCCTTTGGGTTGCAGTGCTCCTTCTTGGTTTTCGGCGCAGTTTGGTTTTCGGCACTGTTTCGCTTTTCGTTGCCTGTGCCCTTTCGATGTTCGGAAAATCGTTGTTTTTCGGCCCCTCCTGGTTTTCGCACCCTGTCGGTTTTCGGCGCTCTGTTGGTGTTCGGCGCTCTTTTGGTCTTCACCGCTCCTTCTTTTAGGCAAAAGGGGGGCGCGGTTTTAAGCTCCCCCCTTTTAGCCAGAATGGGGGACAGTGGGCGGGGGGCTTCCACCAGGGCGGGTTCAAAGGGGGGGGGTAGCTAAGCCCCCCCTCCTTTGGAATGGGAGGTGGGCGGTAGCTTCCAGAGCGCGAAAAAGGGGGGAGGGGGGGGGGCTTCGGAGGGGCAGACAAAAAAGAAGGGGACGGGGAGGAGGGGGCTTCCTGCAGTGGAGGTTCAAGGGGGGCGGGGAGCTGAGACCCCCCCCCGTGTGGACAGGCAGGGGGAGGGGTGGGGGTAGCTTACGGATCGCTACAGGGGTGGTAGCCTCCGAGGCGCAGAAAAAATTAAGGCGGGGGCTTCCTGCAGGGCAAGTCCAAGGGGGGGGCAGCTAAGGCCCCCCCCCATTGGGAGTGTACTACGGGCGCGTTCTCTCTCACCTTCCTCCCCCCGCCCTCACCGGCTCTCCTCCTTGGACACACCAGCAAGCCTCGCCCCCCCTTGCGGGCGATGGGGTTGACAGGGAAGACCTCCACGACAGTATCCCCAAAGGAAGTCCCAGAAAGCTCTTCACCCCGTTCTCTCTTCTCGTCCTCCTCGGCCTCCGGGAGCCTCCACCCCCTCTCGCTGGTGCCGCTTTCCCTCTCCTTGTTATGCTCGCGTCGGCGATCTCTGCGCTTTCGGGGCAGCGGATTCCCCACGGGCACACACGAGTCAGCTACAACGCTGGAATCAGCGCGTGCGAGAGAGGCAGGCAGTGGCAGCTGGCGCTCTCTCTTATTACCCAAATGGTCGAAACGAAATCGGAGCCAGACGTCATCAGTTTCAGCGCTGTGGTCAGCGCCTGCGAGAAAAGCGAGCAGTGGCAACGAGCTCTTTCGCTGCTTTTTGAGATGGTGGATTTGGACTTGGAGTTGGACGCTATCATCTGCAGCGCTGGGATCAGCGCGTGCGAGAAAAGCGAAAAATGGCAGCATGCGTTGTGGTTGCTCAGCGAGATGTGCGAGGCGAAGTTGGAACATGACGTAATCAGCTACAGCGCAGTGATTAGCGCATGCGAGAAAGGAAGGCAATGGCGACGGGCACTGTCGCTGCTTACCGGGATGCGGGAGGCGAAGTTGGAGCCGGATGCAGTCAGCTACAACGCTGGGATCAGCGCGTGCGAGAAAGGAAGGCAATGGCAGCACGCCTTGTCGCTGACCAGCGAGATGTTGGATGTGCGTCTGAAGCTTGGCGTCGTTAGCTTCAATGCTGGGATCAGCGCGTGCGAGAAGTGCGGGCAGTGGCAGTGGGCACTGTGGCTTCTCGGCGGAATGGCAAAAGCAAGCCTGGAGCCCAGCGTCATCTATACCACAGCACCGGGCCCAGCGCCTGCCAGAAGGGAACGTTGCTATACGCCCGCCGGGCCCGCGGCGGCGGCGCCTCCGCGGCCCCACTCGTGGAGAGACGCCGTCCTTGCCCAGGAGAGCCCCGCGAGTGCCCCCCGAAGGCCCCCGGGAGCGCTCCCCTGCAGCGCGAGAGGGCCACCAGACGGCCCGAGAAGCCCCCCACCAGGTTTCACCAGGCTCCCAGAAGGCCACGAGGACGCCAAGCTGTTGACATTTTCAATGTTTTTCGGCACTTCCTCTTACTATCGCTGCTGCGACCGAAGGACGCATCCTCCCAAATCGTCCAGAAGGCGCCCGTGGAGTTCCCAAGAAGCCCCACAGAGGCACCAAGACGGCCTCCGGGACACTCCCCAGAGTTTCCAGGAAAGCCTCCAGCACCGCCTTCAAAACGGCTCTGACGTGTTCCTACTTCTAAAAGGCCTTAGTTCAGTAGAACAAGTGATACCCCACGGGCTCCTTGCTCCAGCAGCTCCCGCCGCATTGCTGCGATAGGCTCCCAGGAAACACCGGCTCATGGGAAAAACGGAAGACGCATACCCCACACTTTTGGGGATCTCTCTCGCGCGCGAGGAGTTGCACAAAGTCGCCGTCAGATCCAGCTGCAGCCACCCGGGGATCGCTGGTTATGCGACCCTTCCCGTGCCGAGCATGTCCCAAAAGGTGTGGTGTGTTGTGTTTGTCAAATCATATTGGTTCTCCTCCTCCTCCTTCCCGCCGTCTCTCTCCTCCGTCACAGGCGCTCCTGCCCGCGGAGCCAGAAACGCACGATTTCCTGGAGGAGGAGAAGGAGGAGCATCAGAAGCAGCAGCAGCAGGAGCAGGAGTCGAAGGAGGAGGAGGAGGAGGAGGGGGACAGGCCACGCGTCCCCCGGGCGTCTCCCCCCGAAGCCCGCAGAGAGACACCAGGGAGGCCCCGAAGAGGCTCCAGGTAGCCCCGCAGCAACGGCTACAAAGGCCCTCGAGAAACCCTAAGCGGCCTGCCAGAGGTGCAAAGCAGGGAGGTGCAAAGCGCAGTGCGAAGCCAAACTTGCAGATGGCGGGAAGGTAATTCGACGAGGGGCGGCACGCGATCGGAAGGCAACTCGGACAACAGCCTGAAGGAGATTCGATGGGGGGAGAACCGCGATTGGAATGCAGATCGGAAGCGGGCCGTCGCATATTCGAGGAGGGGGGAACCGCGATCTGAGAATCGGGCCAGAATGAATCTAGGAGGGGGGAAGCACAATCGGACAGCCATCGAAAACAGGCCGTGGAGTGCGAAGTTCGAGCCCCACGGCATCATGTCAGCATTTCGGCAGCATGGCCACAGTCACGTGATCGCGCAGATACCGTGAACGTTATCCACAGGCAGCCCGAGTACTACCGGGAGCAGCGCGTTGTGTATTGCTCTGGTGGCAGGAGGGCTTGCGTTTCCCAGACGGCCCAAGCGAGCCCAAGAGGCCTCCAAGTTCGCCGAATATGCCTCCGACGCGGCCGAGGACGGCCTCAAGATGGCCCAAGACGGCGTCCAAACGGCCTCAGAGGGCCCAAGACAGCCCAAGACGGCCTCCAGACGGCCGCAATGGCTCCCAGAGCGCTCCAAGAGTGCGCCCAGCAGGACTTGCGGCGCAATAGCTACATGTTTTCTGAAGGGCTTTCTAACATGTCGAGCACCCCGACTCTGGGGCCCTTGCAGCGTCCACGACGGCCCAACAGCTCCCAAGATCGCCCCAGGCCAGGCCAAGAGGCATCCGAAGAGATGATCCCAACGCGGCTCCCAGAGCCCTCCTGGCCCTGCAGGGCCAGGAGGGCCCTGCAGCTTCCAAGCGCATGCGCTTGGAAGCTGGAACGACGTGAGATGCGGCAGTGTTGCTTGACACGGTTCTGGCGCCCTGGGGCTTCCCCCGAGGGCCTCCCAGGTGCCATCTGGGGGCGGTTCCGGGTCCTCGCGGGGCGGCTTCGGGCTCCTCCGGCCGCTCGACCGAGGGCCGACGGAGCGTTCCGGGAAGGGCCCCGCTGGGTCAGACTTGGTGGCCAGCCGCAGCATGGCCCAGCCGACTGGCGCGGCAGCCGGGCACGAGGACCCGAGATCGCAGGCCTAGAGGTTGACACCGACACCAATTTCGGCGGTGTGCCTCCACAGAAGGAAGGAGGTTCCGATCTCGGTGACGGTGGTAATATTCGGGCTTCCAAGGTGGCCGAAATATTACCACCAACGCCGACATGGAGAATCATCTTCCCCCTGTGGAGGCAACGCCCTGTGTTGGTGTTGGTGCCTATTGCCAGGCCTCCAACGAGATGCACGCAGATCAGTCACGACGTGGTACACCCCCCGGATCCCCGTGCCTCACCTCTTCGGTGTTGCCGTCGCCGTCGCTGCCGCCTCCCCATCGCGGCCGCTTGTCGTCGTCGTCGTCGTCGTCGTCGTCGTCGTCGTCGTCGTCGCTGCCGCCATCGTCGTCGTCGTCGCTGCCGCCGCCGTCGTCGTCGCCGCCGCCGTTGCCCTGCCAGGGCGCCTGCGGATATGCTCCACGAGATTACACTAGTCAGCTACAACGCTGGGATCAGCGCGTGCGAGAAAGGCAGGCAGTGGCAGAAGGCCCTGTCGCTGCTAGGAGAGTTGCGGGAGAACTTGAGGCCCAGCGTCATCAGCTACAGTGCTGGGATCAGCGCGTGCCAGAAATGCAGGCAGTGGCAGCAGGCTCTGTCATTGCTCACCAGCATGTCTGAGGAGAAGCTTGAGCCGAATGGCATCAGCTACAGCGGACAGATTATTGCCTGCAATGGTGTTCAGTGGCAGCGCGCCCTGTCGTTGCTCCGCGAGATGTGGGATAACAGCTTGGAGTCCGACATCATTAGCTATAGCGCCGGGGTCAGCGCGTGCGAGACTAATGGGCGGTGGAAGCAGGCGGTGTCGCTGCTCGCCAAAATATCGGACGAGTTGGAGCCCGATGTCATCAGCTTCAATGCTGGGATCAGCGCGTGCGCGAACGACCAGTGGCAGCGGTCACTTCTTCTTTTCAGCGAGATTCGAGAGAACAGGTTGGAGCCCAACGTCATCAGCTTCAGTGCTGCGATCAGCGCGTGCGCGAAAGGATGGCAGTGGGAACAAGCTGCGTCGCTGCTCAGCGGGATTTCAAAGGCAAAGCTGGAGCATAGCGTCATCGCGTCAAACGTTGCGATCCTCGCGTGCGAGAAACACGGAATGTGGCAGGAGGCTCTGTCGCTGTTCGTCGAAATGTGTGAAGTGGTTTTGGAGCCCTCCGCCATCACCCTTAGAGCATGCAGAACCCCCCGCGAGTCACGAGTCAGAATTGCGTTTGCACCGAGTGGCCTTTCCGAGCCCCCATCTGATGGTCCTGGGAGCCCTTCCGCGCCCCTGGATGCACCCAACACGGCCCGAGAGAGCTCCAGAACGGCCCCCAGTATGCTTCCGCTGCTGCCCAACAGCAGCCTCACTCTGGACACGGGCCTCCGTGGTCAAAGTCCACAGGTCAGCCTTGGTCACCTGCACGGTTGGGGCCAGCGCGAGCGAGAAAAGTCAGGGGGGGGGGAAAGAGGCTCCAAGGGGGATGCATCGACGACCGATCGCCCATTGACCGCCGATAGGGGCCCGATGGCCCACCCACCCAAGAGCGTGCGGCTTCGCTTTCGGGAGCCAATCGTCAATATATCGGCGGTGTGTCGCCGGTTCCAGGTCGATCCTTCCCCCCCCCCTTGAGCCAGCTCATGTCTGGGCCGAGCCGTGGTGCTCTCTTAAGAGGCGCTAGGATCTCTGCCCCGATGGCAGGCAAGGGTCCGTGCGTCAGGACGGCCCCGGCCAGATATTGCCGCAGCGGCCCCCCGCAGGACCCCAAGACAGGCCATTGGGACCTAAGAGGCCTTGCGAGTCGTGCCAGATGCTTCCAGAGGCGCCAAGAGATGCACCAGAATAACAACCAGTGTTTGTGTTAGTTTGTCTTCACGGTGATGTTATACGTTCAGGTGTGTATCTATACTGTGTATCGTGATACATGCAGTTTAACACTTAACATCCGTATGCGCACACTATGTGTACGCATCGTTATATATATATATAGATGTATACACTCGTTGTGTATATACATCCATATATGGATAGATCTACACCTGTACACCTCAACTGGTTTGCGCCATGCCGTCGGGTCCCAGAAGAGGAGTTGGGCGGCTTCTGGTTCCGTATGTGATGTCTGGCACTTCTCGACGTGCTGCCTGCGTGCTGCCCCTCTCTTGACCCTCTCGGCGATGGCAACGCAGACAAAGAGGAGGAGGAGGAGGAGGAGGAGGAGGAGGGGGGGAGGAGAAGGAGGAGGAGGAGGAGAAGGGGGAGGAGGAGGAGGACGAGGAGGAGGAGGAAGAGGAAGAGGAGGGGGGAGAGGCCGGTTGGGCGTATCTTGGGGCACGTTGCAGTGCTTCTTGGGGAAGCTGTAGACCGCGACGGTGGTGGCGATGATGGTCTTACTGGCGGCGACGTGCGCGACGAGGAAGAGCACGACAGAGATGATGAGGGGAGGGAGGAACGGGAGGCGCGCCGAACGGGGGTTCCCTGATTGGCTCTGTGTGGGTGTCGACTGGTGGAGGGCCCGCAGGACGCTGTAACGCATGACAGCTTGGCGGTTCCCTCGGCGGCGTGTTTGGCCGTCTGCAGCCGGCGTGAGGGAACGCTTGGCCGTTCTGGGGCGTCGTCCACGCGACAGGGTTCAAACAAACAGGAAGCTGTAATATTGGACACTTCGGCGGCAGCCCGGCCTGTCGGAAACAGTTTGGGGACGCACAGGGGCCGTCTGAGCGTGTGGGGGGGGATCTCTTGGGTCTTCTGCGCGCGCCCTGGGCTTTCTTGGAAACCAAGGGTGAATCCTCCCAGCGGTCAACCTCAGAAGGAGGAAGACACCCGCGGGTGAGGCCTTTTTGGGGTCCCTTGGGGTCAACGGGTGAAACCTGTTGGGTGTTCTTGGGGATCGATCCGTTGGGTGCCTTCTCGGGGGGCCTCGTGCTTGGGGCTTCCTGAGGGCATCTTTGGCGCCTGGTGGCGATCTAGGGGTCCTCTTGGGACAGAAGGATGGAACTGCCAGTTCGGAACCCTCTTCGGGGATTTTTGGGTCGGCTTGGAACGATTTTGAGGGCCTCTTAAGCCGTCTTGGGCGCTATGAAAACTTAAAACAGCAACTCTGTGAAACATATACGTCTTCCTCCGGGATTGGGACGATGTGCGCATCTTAGGGCACTCTTGGCGGCTGTCTTGGAGCCTTGATGGGGCATCTTGGAGGCCACTTTGGCAGTCGCGATGCCATCTTGGTTGTTCTCGAGCTCTCCTCAGCGTGTTGGAGCCGAGCGTGAGCCAGCTGAGATGACACCCTGGACATATTGGAGGCCACGGTGTGTAGATTTCGAGGCTCCAGGGGTCCCAGGTGTGCGCTGGTGAGCCTGGCCCCCCCCCCGCTAATCGGATGTTTGGCCCTGAGGGAGGGGGAAAGTGGGAGGGGGGGCAGCAACTTATTTCACGCGCCCTCTCACCCCAGCAAGCGAGGATCGGCGGATATACACATATAGATATACGCATGTGTGTATATATGTGTATATATATATGTGTGTATGCCTACACATATATATATGTATGCGTGTGTACATATTTAGATATAGGTATAGGTCGACATACATATATATGTGTGTGTATATATACATTTGTATGTATGTATATTTATATGTGTACATGCATGCTTACACATAGGTGGCCAACCATCACAGACATGCATGATTGCATGCATATAGCTATACGTGTAACATATATTTGTACACAAATACACATATATATATGTATGTACATGCAGAACCCGGTGCACTGATGCATGTGTGCGTATGTATGTGTATGTGTGTATGTACTTATGCATACACTCACGCATACATAAACACACATGTATGTATGTATATGAGTATATATATATATGTTTACACAGCTGCCTGTACACACATATATATATGAAGAAAGAGAAAGAGAAACAGAGAGAGAGAGAGAGAAAAAGAGAGAGAGAGAGAGAGAGAAAGGGAGAGAGTTGGGTATCCTTCGGGCCGATCCCGCCACCCCGCTTGGGTTGTCGGTTAGAGGCCCCTTGGATGCCTATGAAGATCTATCTGGATACGTCTCGGGAGCCCAGTGGAGGCGGTTTTGGGCGTGTTTGAGGGGCGTTTCGGGGGTCTCTCGGGGTTTTCTTGGGGCCTGATTTGGGCTTCTCGGGGCCTTTGGGGACATGTAGGGCGCACCTTAGGAGCCTCTGGTGCATCTTGGGGCCATCTTGGGGCGGATGGCTCACAATACCAGTTCGTGTTTTCCTTTTTGGGCCCCTCTTGGAGCTGTCTCGGGAGTATCTTGGGTTCTCGGGCTTCTTTCGCGATTTTATGTGCCTCGTTGGCCGTTGTGGACGCTCTGACGACAAAAGAGACGGTAATGTTTACACAATGAAAACCAAACGTTAGACTCTGATTGTTCTAGTCACTTAGACAGCCGTCCGGGGCCTCCCAGACGGCCCAGGATGCGCTCAAGAAGGCTCCAGGACGGTCCTCAGGGCCATCTGTGGCCAATTTGGACATGCATTTCCCGAACAACGTGGTCTCGACCGCGTGAGAAATCACGCAAGACTAACTGAGCGCCCGAGAGAGCGCCCGGAACTCTGGGCTGTGGGCCTTCGCGGAATGTGTACCGTATTTACTTCCGAGAATTCGCAAGGACCTGAAGGAACTCCAACTCGTGCCTCAGGGCACGCTGGCGGACATGCATATACACACATATATATATATATATATACATATATATACATATATATACATATATATAGATGTGTATATATATATGTATATATATATATATATACATAGAGGCATCTATACATTGATTTGCCAAATAGTGCTTACACATATGGGTTTCTTACTGCACTTCCTAAGGAATTGCAGTTTGGTCGGTCCGTCGCCACCTGGGTTGCACTACGTAGGCTGCACCACATAGACTGCACAGCGTCGATTGCACCATATCGGTTCTCAGCTCTACAGAGAAATTTGGACTCCCTACCATATGTGCTTCATCGACACCCCTGTGGCACCGCAAATTACATACGATCCCGCCCCATCGTTGATTTCAAATATGAGTTCACGGCATCCCAGCTCGACCCGTTATCGCCCCCTCATCCCTGTCAAATAGTACACAAGTTCCCAAGAGTCCCTTGCAGCAGAAACTAACTAAGTCGACGCGCGGCGTCGTTGCGCGCGCATGCCCAAACCTTTCATGATATCACAGAGTACCTCGTGATGATTTCAAGGTCGAGGTTCCCAATATCATATTATACAACAGCGTGATATACATATATATATATACACATACATGTGTGTGTGCGTGTTTCAAATAAGTCATGCGCGCGTGTTTTCAAAAAAGTCATGCGCGCGCATTTGTCTTGATTTCGAACACAAGCATTGGTTTTCCCGCACGTTCATATTCTGCGACCAATCGGGCCTCTTCGCGCCCACATGTCGAATTTCTTCGAGCGAGGCCTCTTGGGGTGGGGGCACGATCCCCGTTAAATAATGTTACGTTGGCCACTCGCGCGCGTCGGCCGCGCACGCATGTCGAACTCCTTCCAAAATTTAAATTCGAGGGAGCTTATAGTGCGAACTCAAGTCATCCTGGCCCCTGGTGCGCCAAGGAATGGGCCCGCCAACCGCCCTGCTGGTTCCGCTTTGGCGAAATCCAGGTAGGCCGGCGACGAATTCCAAACCGGCCCCCTCGTCCCCCGCGTGAGACATCATGCGAATATTGGCCCCCCAAACCTCCCCAAAGATCCCCTCAGAGGCCCCCTGGCTCCGTTTCCGGGATTTGGCGACGAATTCCAAATTGGCGCCCTCGCGTAGGACATCCTCGGACAATTGGCCGTCATACGCGCGCCAGGGCGCGCCGCGCGCGCCCCAGTCTGGGGTTTTCGTTCGAGACATCTTCCTTTTAGGGGGAGTGGTCCTGTTACTGGTTATGTTTACTTGTTTTGGTGGTCCTGTTTACTTTTGGGGTTCTCCTGTTTACCTCTGGGGCGGTCCTGCTTACATCTTTTGGGTGGTCCTGTTGACTTTTTGGCTGGTCCTGTTTAGTTTGGCGGTGGTCCTGTTTACTTTTGGGATGGCCATGCTTTGGATCACCTTTCTCGCGCTGCGTTTTTTTTTCTTTCTTCCTACTGTTTTTTGTTTTGTTGTGTTGTCCCTTTCTGTGTAAGTCTTTC